GAGAGAGAGAGAGAGAGAGAGAGAGAGAGAGAGAGAGAGAGAGAGAGAGAGAGAGAGAGAGAGAGAGAGAGAGAGAGAAAGGCTGGTGGTCGCCCACCTGGTATGCTGCCCTTCTTCTGCCTTGTCGTCGCCAGCCTAAGCACCTCCTGATTCCTGAATGCAAAGATCTCAATCGCCTCAGTCTCCACATGTCGCACCTGCAAAGCCGTTGAAGGGGAGTTTTGGCGGATGGGAAAGACAACGGGCGGCCACGAGGACGAGGACAACAACTGGCGGCAACAGTGGGTGGTGGCGTCGATGTTCGGGTAGCAGTGCGACCGTCAAAAAGTTGCGCGACAGTCGACTAGTTGGGGTAGTCGGAGACAATGGCGGGCTAGGAATTGGGAATGAATGTGGATGTACAACATGAGTACATTACCACATGAAACCCTTTTTGTTTTTTGCCAAGGGGTGGCCGACTCGAAAACCCAAAATCGAAGTCGGCCAACGACTCAAAACATTTTACACTCCGGCCGCCGGCGGGAATCCCAAGGAGGCAGCGAAAACCAAAAAAAAAAAGGGCCTATGACTTCAAATGGTGGAAAAGGGTGGGGGGGGAAGGGCTGGGAGGGGGGCAGGTGGGAATATAAGGTGTAGTGATCCACGGTTACCCGAGTGGATCCTCTACCCGCCCGTACCCGCCCCCTATTTTTTTTTTTTGCTACCCGTACCTGTCTGTACCGGTTCGCGGGCCTATGTTTGGCAAGCCCTACCTACCCGTCCAATCCATAAATGCTAACTGTGCCCACCCGTCAACTGCAGTAAAAAAAAATATGCCCGCCCATAACCAACGCCCCCATCGAAAAGGGGCACCCACACCTACCCGTGACCTGGCGGTTACCGTTGGGTGCGGTCGGGTACGGGTAACGGTTTCCCGTTTGCGCTCTCTGGTACAGAGTAACACGCCGATCCGTTCGCCGCCGTGACTAGCGAAATTAATTCAAGGGTACTGCAAGAAATGGTTGTTACTGGATCGCTCGCTATTGACACTTAAACCTCTAACAAGTTCAACTTTCTTCTCCCAGTACCTCTCTCTCTCTCTCTCTCTCTCTCTCTCTCTCTCTCTCTCTCTCTCTCTCTCT